ATGATGACATCAACTAGGTTATCGGTGCGAGGCTGCTAGTGAGCTATATCCACCCTGAAGGTTAATCTTGGACAATATCTGATGATCGACTCTTTTAAATGAAACCAGAGAGCGTTGACAGAGAGGAGAAGGTAGAAATGACTCAGCCTGTAACTGAAAATATGGATGGAGGACAACAGAGCTGCTTCATGGAAGAAGAACCCCAGCTTAGCCTGTTAGCCTTTGCGCTAGCGGCCACGCTATATTGCCTTATATGTATTAGCTCGGCGCTGGCGCGACAAACAAGCTAAACTGAGGTCCTCCATCCATATTTTCAGTTGCAGACTGAGTCATTTTTGTGTTCCCCTCTCTGTCATGTGGATGGAGGACCTCAGTGACGAGAGGAGAATGTGTAGCGCTGAGCTAATACATATAAATGGTGAGAGCGTCGGGGCTAATACTAAAGCTAACAGGCTAAACTGAGGTTCTTCTTCCATGAAGCAGCTCTGTTGTCCTCCATCCACATTTTCAGTTACAGACTGAGTCATTTCTACCTTCTCCTCTCTGTCAACGCTCTCTGATTTCATTTAAAAGAGTCAATCATCAGATATTGTCCAAGATTAACCTTCAGGATGGATATAGCTCGCTAGCAGCCTCGCACCGATGACCTAGTTGTCATCATTTACCCAGAATGCTTTGCATGTAAATAAAATGGCCCCGTCCGTGTAATATATTTTTAAACTTTTAGTTTAAAAATTATAAAAACTGAACATCCTACAGTATTTTTACAGTCTTTGTTTTACAGTTAAAGTATATGTTTATCATATAAAGTCTAATGTTACAACTAATCAGGGATCCCTTTAAGTATTTGTGTCTTGTTCACGGGTGATGATGGGATTGAGCAGGAGATGGACTGATGAATTGGGGGCTCGTTATCAGTAATGAAGGCTTTGCTTTGGTCAGTCATGGTAAAGAATGAGGCAAAGCATTCAATTTATTGGTCTTTCTACATTCCAACCCTCACCTGTTATTGCAAACTCTGGGAAGTGACCAAAAGAATGAAACCTGGACACACGAGGTCAAAATCAGTTTTCTCTGTAGGGTGCCTTGTCAAATCCAAGGCCCATATAGGTTTTATATCCAGCCCTAAAGTTAATACTTAAAATTTGGAATAGCTATAATCCATGTGTGGTTTGGTTTTTCTCATTTCAAAGTAAAATTGCAAAATGAAAACAACTGTGCTCTTTTTTCCTCTTTCTTTTTCAAAACCTAAATGCTCAAAGTTACCTAAAGGTATTTCTATAAGTATAATTTGTTACAGAATTTTTTTTTTCAATTAATACTGAGAGAAATTGGACCGTGGCTTGGACCAAGTTTTGAATTTTGTGTAACTGAGTTTGGCACCCCTGCTTTAGAGAGCCCAGTTGTTCACGAGAAACTCAGGAGTAGAGCAGCTTCTCCTCCACATCGAGAGGAGCCACTTGAGGTAGGGTAAGGTGATGACCCATGGTTGCCTCCGTAGGGAGGTCTTCCAGTCAAGTCCAAGTGGGAGGAGATCCTGTGAAAGACCCAGAACACACTACAGAGACTCTCAGCTGGTCTGGGAATGCCCTGGAATCCTCCCTGAGGAGCAGGAACAGGTGTCTGTGGAAAGAGGTGTCTGGGAAAGGGGCAGAGTCAGACGGGTGGCCAGGGTGGCAAATGCCACCACTGGCACCTGATGCCACTCCCAAAACAATTTGCAAGTGGGTGAGGATCTTGGATTTTGTATTTGCATTTAGTGTCCTGATGCATCTCAGTAATCCAGGTAAAAAATCAAAGGAAAAAAAATTGTATAGGTCCTCTGGACGGGTTCTTCTTTAATGAAACGTTTCGTCTCTCTTCCAAGAGACTTATTCAGTCTGAGAGTTTCAGGCAAAATTCAGGCTTTTGAGTCCTGCCTCCAGGTGACTGATACTCACATCACATGGCCATCGTTCACCCTAATTAATACCTTTTGTTAACAGGGGGTGGAGTGATACTGCCAATGGCAGCGCTGTAGCAGGGGGACAGCTGAAAATGGAGGCCCCCACCTCTGTTTAATGACGGACGGTCTTTCTTTACAAAAATGGCTTCTTTTACTCCTTTTTTAAGCCATTTTTGTAAATGCAAAATGATGATGTGAGTATGAGTCACCTGGAGGCAGGACTCAAAAGCCTGAATTTTGCCTGAAACTCTCAGACTGAAGAAGTCTCTTGGAAGAGAGACGAAACGTTTCATTAAAGAAGAACCCGTCCAGAGGACCTATACAATTTTTTTCCTTTTATTTGCATTTAGATATTATTTAAGTTTGTTCTCTAATATTTTCTCTGAATTATAGACCTTTGTAAAATTAGCATTGACATTAACTGTTATCTTAGTTTAGAATTAGCATGTGATCATTCTTAGCTACACTACAACAAATTTAATCTCAAGTTTTAATTGGCTGAATTATAGCATTTAAAAGTTTGCAGTGGTGGCCATCTTGAATTTTTGATGAACCTTTATAATTTAATGAAGAATGTTTTTGGCTACTTTTACACTAATCTTCAGCTTATGTCTAAAAATGGCTGAATAATAAGTCGTGACTAGCCTTCAGCATGTTTTTTTGATCACATATTCAAACCAATATTTCTTTAAAACAGTTGAATTAAAGCCATTTAGAGTTAGCTGTAGCGGCTCTTTTGAAATTTTAAATCCAGAGTGTTTTTCTTTATTTGTTCGTGCCCTCCATAAAAAAAACACCTTGGCCACCCCTGAGCCACCCCTTGCAAGAGTCTAGCTCTGCCCCTGGTCTGGGCCTTGCTCACTCTGCTGCCCCCAACAACCCAACGCTGGACGAACAGCTGGACAAAATTTGCAGCTCCAAAAGAGAATTATAAGCGTTAGTTGATGCAGTTCAGTATTTTCTGTTTCCTTTTTCATCACCATCAGGAGTGTTTAACGATGCTGTGAAGCTTCAGTCTTTATCCAGGGAGTATTTAAAGGCAGTGATCAATCCTCTTTACAATTTCTTACGAGGAGACACAGCTGAACATTTGAACGAGCCGTGCAGAACAATAGCAATCAAATGTAATTAAAAGTCTGATTGGTTTAGTATTCTGTCAAGATGCTTTGTGTGTTTCCTAGATAAGATATTTCTTGTCAAGGGACAAAATGCAAAGCAGCCACGTGCTTCAGTCTGCTGCGTTTGATTGAGAAAACATCACATGTTGTGTTTAATGAATCCCACCATGTTAATGAGGACAGTTAACTTCTTTACCGTCACTATCTCTCCCTCAAGCCTCGCCACCGTGATTGCCACCAATCTAGGTCATATCAGTGTTTTAATCAGTGCTGGATGGAAAGAGACTCAGTTTGGAGATAAACCCCATTTTTCCCCTCATCAAGGTGGGGATTTTTTTTATTTACTCTGAGCTCATTCCCAGTTCTACTCTGATATATATATATATTTGTGTGTTCGTGCCCGGCTGCATCTGGGATCAAAACGAAAAACCATAAATAAATCAATACAGAGAAGATGAATTAAATTTTTCCTGGGATTTTACCAAGTCCAGAGGAGCAATAGTTTTTGCAACAGTTTTTTTTAGATGTGCGTGCATATTAGCAGGTCTTAAAAGTGCTTTCCATACCAGATTAAGTTGTTTGTACTCTGTTGCTGCAGTTCCCGGTCTACTTAAATTTGCAGCAGACAGGGGAGGGGGAGATGGTGCTGGAATTTTAATGTTCGACTCGGTGTTCTTCCCAAGCTCACGCTGCTTTCTGTTAAAAAAAAATCACAAGGTACAGATTGCTCTCTACAGGCCTGAACACATTATAGGTTCTGATTATACATTTGATTTCAAAAGATGAGTGGTGCCTGCAGATTTTTTTATGGGAGTCCTTGGAAAATCCAGGGGTGGCACACCAAAACTAAAGTCCAGAACAGAATTTCGGAAATCCAATACAAATCTAATTCAACAAAGTTAAGACGACGACAGAATACGATGAACTGCAAAACAATTTAATTCAATTAATCTACTACAAATACAGGATTAATGCTCAAACAGATGAAATTTATATACAGTATTCTTCTTGAAAAATTAAGTAAATATGGTATTAGAGGGTCAGCACTAAAATGGGAATCTAGTTATTTGAAAGATAGGAAACATTTTGGACAGATAAATTGTGTAAGATCTAAACTTGGTAATATTACATGTGGAGTCCCTCATGGCTCTGTACTGGGACCTAAGTTATTTATTTTATATGTGAATAACTTAATAAATGTGTCATGACTTTTCAAATGTGTTTTATTTTCTGACTGTACAACATTTTTATGTTTGGGTAAAGCTATAGAAAAATGTTTGCGATGGTACAAAAAGAATTTGAGAAAACACAAAATTGGTTTCAACAAAACAAATTGTCATTAAATTTGGATAGAACAAATTACATGATATTTAGTAATAGGAAGAAAACTGTTGATTTCTCATTTAAAGTAGATGGTACTGAGATCTGTAAAGTCAGTGAGTTGAAATTTCTGGGTGTCATCATTGACGACAAGCTGACATAGAGACCTTACGTACATTATTTAAGAACAAAAATATCTAAATGTATTGGAGTACTGTATAAAGCCAGATAGTTATTCAATGACAAGGTTCTGCTTGTGTTGTACAATTCAATAACTGTTCCACATTTCTTTTACTGTATTGTACTCAAGGCCGGATTAACCATATGGGCAATTGGGCAATTGCCCAGGGGCCCACGGTCTCCAAAGGGCCCTGGGCAGTGAAGGCACGGACATAACGGATGCAGGATATGCGTGGACATGTCTCCTCGCACTTCCTGCATCTGCGCTTCCTGTCCCCGCATTTTTCTCAGCCGTAACAGCTGTTTTATCCATTATTAACATATGGTAATGCGTTTTTCTGAGCCGTCTTTGAACGCACCATAAGCGTGCTCATGCTACTCCTGCAGATGAGATGATGGATGGGAGCTGCTGTGATGAGCAGAGCCTCGTGGTGTAAAGAGCAACTAAAACTTTACAGTTTTTACCAAACAAACCATGTAAGTTGAGTCATGCTGTTGGAGGCAGATAATGTTAGCTAAATGAAGAGTTACACATTATATAATGTTTAGCTAGTTAACATGATTAGTTGTTGTTACCTGTTACATCCCTTGCCAAGCTAGTTTATTAATGCTAGATAAACCCAATAGTCTTTCATTTCTGTGCAGAAGTCATGCTGGCTGCTTTCCACATTTTTAAAACAAATCTTCATTACCACAGTTACAAAGAACAAGGTCAGGGAGGAGACAGACCAGATAGCCTACAGCAGCAGGGATCATAATGCAGACTTTCCTCAGGTAAGGAGAAATTATGACTATTATTCTTGAAGTGGAACAGTCTTTAAAACCTGGTGTATAGTTTGAAGTCTCTACTTTTGACACAATTTGTAACAGAGTCTCGGAGAATTAACCACAGAAAGATGGAGGTTAAATCACATGACTGGATCGCATGTTGTTGTTGAGAAACCAGACAGGTATCAGGACAGGGTTTTCATGATATTTCAAAGTACTGTTCATACTCCAAAATATTTTTTATTTTATTGTTGTTTCTACTTTGGGCCAAAATAAATCTAGCATTTATAATATTATTTTGTTATTTACCAGTAGTTAAAAAAGAGATGATTGATAGACTTAGTTCAAAAGTAAAAACCGACAAGGATGTTTAAAGATGTAGTTTCATTTTTGTTTATTATGTAGATGTATGAAAGTTTTGTTTATTATTCATTTTCATATATTACTTGACTACTGCATTATTTGTGTTCTTGTTGATGTTGATGTGCTTAGTGTTGTGTCACTTTCTATGTTTATGCCATTCTTTGTCTTATGAGCCTAAATCGAGCCAAGTAATAATTTGCTTACATGGAGATATATACTGTATATATATTTATATAACAACTGGAGTGCTCAGAAACCAGGTGACCTTGTAATCGGCTGGTGAAGCTAAAGGCTAATGCATAC